TCCCCTCGGCCCCGCGCTCGCCGCTGCGCGCCTTGGGTGCTCCCGCCCCGTGGCGTGACTGGCCCCGGGGCCGTGAATCTGCTTACACGGGGCGGCTGCGCCCAGTTTTGTCTCTCCAGCAGCGCAGCGTCCTTGCGCGGGCGGCTTCAGGCGGTTCCCCTTCTCCGGCTGCTTCAAAGCTGCCCTGGCCCTTAGAGTCGCCTCGCCCCGCTTTTGGGTACCCCCGCCTGCTGCCTTAACGCAGCTCTGGAAATCAGAAGCTCCTGCCTCGTTTTTTCTCCAAGTCGTGCCCTTAATTTGCCGTAGAGATTCCGCAGATTTTGCTTGCTCACGGTGATGCCCTCCTGCCGCTCAGATTTCTTTGCGGTAGCCTATGTACCTCCCTCCTTTCGTGAGAGCAGGGCTTTGCAGTCCTTGCCGTTTTGCTTGCCTTTAAAAAATTTATCGCTGGAGGTATATAGAAGTTAAGGCAAGGGATCACATCTCATTACTGCCTTTCATTAAATCCCCTAAAAACCAGCAAAATTAATAGACTAAATGTTTTTATACTTTTCTCATTTTAATTTTTCGTTCTGTATCTTCCCCTAAACTCTCCTGGGTGTCTGAAAATAGATGCCTGGCTACTCTTCATTAAATACTCGATCAGTGCTAGTATTTTTACTGCCAAGTGTGGAAATAAATTACCTGACCAAAAAGATGCTGGTTTCTGCTGTAGCAAAGCGGGGAAACAGCCTCCTGTTTTTCATTCTAGTGATGTGAGGGATACTCTAGGGTTTTAGTGTGTTCAGATATGTCCCAGTAAGTACAAACAATAAGTGATATTCTTTCATCTTTTGTGGGGGGAAGAGTAATTTAGCTGGCTAATAAGTTTCATACCAAGTGTTGATATGGAGCAAGAAGAGATGGTCTATTGTAAGTTGGGAGAGTCCTGTGTGTTTTTATGAACTGAATAAATAAGGCCTATTTCTTATCTCAACTTTGTAATAACAATTATGAAAGCCTCAGTGTCTCTCCGTTCTGCTGAAAACGCTCAGTAAGGGTAAATACGCATAGCCACTCTCAAAGTTTCTGTGTTTATCAACTCTTCCGCTTGCTGCTAATGTTTTTTGTTGCTAGATAAAAATCTCTTATTAATTATGACTTCTTAATTAGCGCCTTGATTAGTTAGAAAAAAGATGTACTAATTCTGGGTTTCTTCCCTCTTTGGGCATAGATTGGGTGTTTGACTCTTCCTCTCCCTTCTTAGGGCCGTAGCAGGAAGATAAAGGGGTGATCTAGCAAACCTTATATTTTTGCTATCCAGAGTTAAGCATTAAATAAGTATTTGTTTAAAATGCAACTTGAAATGCTGGGTAGAAGTTGGGAGACCCTGTACTCTCGTCAGCCCTGTTGTCCTTAGTTAACGTGCACACTGTAATTGGCTATATGTTTTGCTTTCCACATAACTGGACTTTAAATGGTGAATTCTTTCCCTCTGCTTGAATTGTCAACTATAAAAGTAAAAGTAACTGGGTGGATTGCTCTTGAATGCAGTGCTAGACTTTTCAATAAAGGAGTACACTTAAAGGGAGTGCTGATCTCAGTACTATCTGTACTGAATAAGCTTTATCACACAGCAGAATATGATAGTTGCCCCATCTTTGGAAATGTTCTAGGGTGAAAGTCTAGAAAACTGCTAATAAACAATGACCTGGTTTGTGTTTTCAAGTGAGTTCTCAGACAGTGCTAAAGATACAGGAAATTCTCCTCTGCTAGAATGATGTTCCGCATTAAAAGGAATTTCAAGTCTGGTTTACATCAGTGCAATATTTGTTAATATCTTCCAGAGTACTACCTTAACTGATAATTAAAACCACAAGAGCAAATGATAACCAGTGCAGTGCACACAAGAAGAACTCTACTTTTTCTTAAATTGTTAAAGCTAAGCTCCTTAAAAAGTAATAATAAACAAAGAATAAGACCAAAAATCTGTTTAAGAAAATACTGAAGTAACTTGCAGTCATGGTTCATTTGGCAGTTTTCAACCATTTTTGGTTTTCTGTAGCTAGCTTTTCACCAGTGATGCTTATGGAGTCTGAGTCACTGAAAAGATGAGCTGCACTGTGTCCTGTTTTGGGCATGGAAAAGATGTCTAGTCAGTGTGTGATGGCAAATTTGTTATTGTGGACAGTGGTTTTATTTTTCTTAAAATATTCTTATTTGGACAGCAGTGACCATGAGCAATAACAATTTTCTTAAATAGAACTGGCCTCAGCTGCCATATAGAGTGATATATGTACTGACAGTGGATGAAGCACAGTATTAGAAGTCTCCTCTTCCAAAATAGTCAAATGAGCTTTCATAGTATAGGATGTACTTACTATCAAACGTAACAATAAAAATAAAATGTAGGACTTTGGGGAGCTGCTGAATGAAAATCTCATCACCTTTCTTTGAAGAGAGGAATTTCTTTCCCTCTCAAAGCGTTGTTACACTTGAGGATCTTCCTCAGCTGGCAGGTAGAGACGAGGCCAGGAACTGTGCTTCTGTTTTTTTCGTGTTCTCCTTCCAGGGTGCAGTTTCACAGACACCCTTCAGCAACTATAAGTTTGCACAGCTGTCAAAAGAGGTTGCCCAGCTTCCAACCAACAGTGCTTTCCGGCCTTAGAGGAGCCCCTAGATCAGTGTGGATTTGGCTGAAAACTAGTGTCTTGGGGGCAAAGGGGTCTGGAAGGTGCACAATTGTTAGTCGTTGCAGAAGAGATGTAGCAGTTTTACATCAGTCTAAGTTGACGGGGGAGCTCTATTCTTAAACCTTTTAAGGTGAGACTGGGATTTTTTTGCAGTCAGAGCCTCTGCTCTGACTTTCAAGTTTGTGAACCTTTTTGTTGCTGTGTATTACTATGTTATGTCTTTGCTCGCCTGTGTCCCTCCCCAGCATTGAGCATTGTTTTAGTGGGGTGTTGCTTTAGGCTTTCCAGGCATGGACCAAGATCTCAGTGATATGTAGGTCCCTGCTGTTATCTCCCCCATTTTTATAGGAGTTACTGCCTTGGTGGGTGTGCAAAGAATTTTGCAGGCACGGATGATCATAGCCTGATCTGAATAGTCTTGGAGATGTGTCTTGAAAACACAACTGCTGTATTTTGGAAATGATGGTAAGGTTCTCCTGTAAGGAAGTTGGGTAAAATTGCATCTCTCTCTGGAAGAAAGGTGAGAAATTGAGTAGGAGTGGAATTGAAACTCCTTAGTCTTCACATGATTTGCAGTATTCTTTTTTTTTTTTTTTTATTTTAACCAACATGCTTTTGATGGAAAGATGTTAATTATTCTCCCTTTTTTCTTTTTTAGCTTGGTTTTACTCTTGGCAATGTGGTTGGGATGTATCTGGCTCAGAACTATGATGTGAGTATCCTTGTATTCCCAGAGTTGAACCTATTCTGAACTGAAAATATAAGGCTGGTTTCCCTCAGTCGGAATTGAATCAGTCCTTATTTTGATGGTTTATTGTATTTGAACAGAATGCATATTGACTTTTTTTACAGATGAACTCAAATGTAAATGGAACCAAAACATCTACTTCTGACATCTTTTCTGTGATAGAGTAGTGCTGAGAGCCGTAACTGACATTACACAGATATTGTAACCAGTCATCTACATTGATAGAGAGAAGAGAACAGAAAAGGTCTCATGGATTGTACCAGCATTAAAATACTGGTGTCCTGACTCTGATAGCCTGTCACAGTGTTCTCCACTCAGTACACCTGTTTGTTACTTAAGAATCCTTCAGAGCATCTGAAATTTCTGTCCTCTAGCAGCAATGAAAACAAGTTTTGCCAGCTGTTTGGGAGAATTCAGCACCTGCTCCTACTTCAAAAGTGCATCGACCTGCAATCTTTCTTTCCTGCTTATTTCACAGTGAGAAAAGAGAGAAAGTGAACTTTCTTTCCTCAGCTCTCACAGTGAACTGAGAATTTTCACTGTGAGAGTTAGAGTAGAAGACGAAGATTTAGAGCTGAGTCTTCAATACAAGCTTTTAATTTCTGCAGAGTCACCAGAATCCCTTGTATGAGCAGTGCCACTTAGCTGTTTACAGGCTAGAGGAGTTGGTGAAATTTAACATACTTTTTTTTCCTTTCCTATGCCTAGTTTAAAAAAAAAAAAGTTGTTGAGGCTCAAATCTCTGATGACATTTATGTTTTGCTTTCCTCTTTTCTTCAGTATTGAAGTCATCTTGCTAACAGAATTCTTATTTTTTGTTCCTTGCTCATGGGCAAACTTTTGTGATGCTTCCTGTCTCGTCACCTCAGTAAGAGTACTAATAAAAGGCTGGTGTTTCTTTCCAATATATGCCTTACAAAGTTACGAAAATGTAGTCATAAGAACATATTTGGGTGTATCAATATGTATTGTAAGCATGGTATAGTGCTTTTTGGGCAGCACTAGTAAAGTATTGCCACAAGAGGGGGACTTAAGCTTTTGATATGCAGGAAATGGTTCCCTGGAAATGTAACACTGACTTGCAGGATGGTGATTTTATTGCTGGTATTGAAGGTGATTTGTTTTAGATGACATCTAAAATAAACTTGTCATAATGAGGTCCCAATTCTGCAGCTGTACGCACAGTGCTTAGTTATAAGCACATGGAGGGTTCTGCTGACAGCAGTGGACTTCTCTTAGTTTAGCTTATAAGTCAGGCATGTTACAGGCTGGGCTCTTTGTTTCACTTTCTCAAATGGAGCTTAACTTCGAAAGGGAAGGGAAGAGAGAAACTTATGTTGTTACCCATACTATCAGCCTCAAACCATCCAATGATAGAACTGCAGTCCGTTTGGATTAACTTCTGTAACCTGTGGTCAGGTTACATACGAAGTAAAAGCCCATGATTTTTTTCACAACTACCAGTGGGAATTTTGCTTTATTTCCATTTTAATCTGTGAGCTTCTAAAATCCTACGTTGTCAGTTCCCAGTTTTAGCTAGAGTCATGACATAATCTATTCCTTGCCCTTAAAAGTTGCTTCTTTTTTTTTTTTTTAAAGTTGTCAAAATTTACTCTTGGATTACTTTATCAAAATGCTTTTATTTGCAAGAGAAAGCTGAAGTTTTGAAGTTCACAAGCGGTAAATTGAATTTTCATTCAAGTGTGAAACTGCAAAAGGTTGCCAATTTGCAATGCAATAGAATTCCCTAGTGGGGAATTTTGGTTCCCACAAGATGGACCAGGAGAAGTATTTCTTCATAAATTTGTTGAGAACATATTTGCTGCTCTTGAACATCTCTTTTCTCTTGGCATTTGACCAGTAGAGTGCAATCTAATTTCCCCTCTGAAAGTCATTATTAAAGCCTGTGCATCAGTGTTTAAATCAACTTATTCTTGGCAGTTTGTCCTCTTTCAGTGAGGAAGCCAGACTGGTCTTACTAAATTTCCTGTAAAGTGATCTTTTTTCCTCCCTCCTGTTCCCATCACCACTGGCTAACTTTTAGTCTTAACAATCTAAAATATTTCCTAAAGCCTCATGTGAGGTGCTTTCATCTGTTGTTTGCTTGATGTTGTTTTGTTTTTAACCTCTGTGCAAGGTAACAGATCCTGGAAGCAAGTACCCTTTAGAAAGCAGTGTAAATTTCGTAGAATTTCTTGCTGTGTTTATGGTATTGTCTTTCC